CCTGCATTTGCTGTCTCAAAAATAATTTGTTGATTTGTATGAATCGGGGTCCAAAAACTGCACACAACTTTCAGTTACCCACCACTTACATCTGCCCCTCTACTTTTTATATCGTTCATAATATACTAGAAAACTTAGGTCAGCTGCCCCGTAGGATGTTCCACAGTGTTGATGGGCCAATATCTAACTAGGTCCTCTGTGTGCTATAGTCCCTGAAAGTCACACCCAGAGGCTTGCTTCGATTTGGGTTAGACTGTGTAGAAAGGAGGTACAGCAGTGGAGTTGTGTAGTTCTCCCCAGGCTGTGACGTCTAATTGCCCCCGCCCAAGCCATGTTCTGAACAAGGATGAGTTCCTGTGTTCTTGGTATCTTCTGTCCAACTGGGGATACCAGTCAACATTTCTTACAGTGGTTCCTGCATCTGTTGATGGTTGTGGCCTGGATTCATTATTTCACTGGTTATCACAAAGAAAAAATTTTGAAAAATAAAAAAAATCCAAAGTGATATTCTAATTCTACCACTGTATTGGTCTATGAAGAAGTTTTGCCAGGTTCGGTGGCTCCTGCTATAATCTCACCTCTTTGGAAGCCTGTCGCAGGACAATCACTAGCTCCAGCTCAGCCTGAGAAATTTAGCAGCTTAACAAAACCCTGTCTCAAAATTTAATAATTAAAAATAAAGAAACAGCTGAAGATGTACATCAGTGCAAAGGTCCTGTCTTTAGACCCTAGTACTGAAAAAGCAAAAAAAATTATTTTAAAAATTTCCTGTCAACTATTTGTATACCATAAAATAAGGCTTATTAGGAAAAACAAATATCTTTGTATCAATTTATAGGAGAAAGTCAATTGTTTGTCATATTTTTGATGTACTTTGAACTTTGGCATTTCTCTTTTTCACTTAAATCAGCCCTTTTGGACTGGGGTGCCCTAGTTTTGCCCTAGTTTTGCATTTTTCTTTGCAAACAGAACATCTTTGACTCCTGTCATCCTTCCTGTCCTTGCCTGGGATGAAGCCTCTCTCCAAGGCCCCCTGGCTCCTGCAGCTGCACTCTTAGTCACCTTCTCTGTTGCTGAGACAGAAATCCCAACACCTACAGTTAAAGAAGGGGAGGTTCATTTGGCTCACAGTTTGCAGAGGTTTCAGTCCATAGTCTTCTGGCTCCAAGACAGAGGGCGTCACAGAGGAGAAACAGCTCACGGAAGGCAGAAGGCGGGAGGGCAGCAAAGCAGCAAGCGACCTCAGTGGCCCTCTTTCCCTCACCTAAATTCTGTCCAGACCCCCTCACTTCCCCCAGCATGGGCAGCACACCCACCCAGGTTGGGGCTCCATCCATTGCACCCCCACACCCGTAATCCCAGTGTTGCAGGCAGCTGAGGTAGATAGAAATATTACAGGCAGTCAGGCAGGGCCAGGCCCTCAAGGAGACAGTATGGAAGGTAAGATGACTTTACATTTGTGGGAGAGACAGACCCCTGCTGTGGACGGATCTCAAGACAAAAGAGTAAACAGGCTGGCAAGATAGCTCAGTGGACTAAGTGCCTGCTTTGGCAAGAGCAGGGACCAGGGTTTGATCCGTGGTCCCATAGG